GTTTCTCCGTCGGGTCTACAGCAGTTTACGAAACTTAATCATTTTATATAATTTATTGTGTTTGGTTAAATAATGTTTATTTTAAGAAATTTAATAAAATATTTTCCCCGTTATTAAGAATGTGAAGTTTTTTTTTAAATTTTTGTAGTGTTTTTTTCACTATGATTTTATCGAATTTATAGTTTAAACAAAATAATGTTAGAAATTAATAAAATTTAACTGTGTAAATGCCATGGTCGATTCGAAAATCACAAATAAAAATAAATAGCTAATAATTAAATTTGCATGCATGCACACGCACTTACATGTATAATATAAAAAAATGTTTTGAAATGCCGAGATGTTGATGGTTTTTGTCAAAATGTTATCCTAAAATAATGATTGTAAAAAATAAAAAAACTATTATATATTACCACTTATTACAACTTACAATATAATGAATCGCATCATAAATTTATTGTCAAGCATCTTTGTTAAAATAATTTAATGTATATATTATCGAATAAAACTAAGAAAAAAAAAAAAACTAGAATATATTAAAGTACTAAAAATAACTCGAAAACCTAATATTTCAAACAAGGCAAATATAACCTATCTGGTCAATACAATAATAATAATCTTGTCTGTGACAACCATTTTATCATTTACATGACCAAGATTCGTTGGTATCTGTAACATGAATATACTGTAATAATGGTTAATTATATATATATATATATATCTGTAGAATCACTAAAATGTCCTAAATCGTATTAATCTTTTTTTAATAAAATTGTTTGCATATTTCTCAATTGGTCTCTAAATAGGTTGGTGTTTTTACACTATTCTCATACAAAATTATTATATAATGGGAAAAAAACATTGATAAACATAACTTGTATACCTAAAATTAATAATCGAAACAGAAAATTTGTGTTTTGGATAATATTTTTATAATTCCATAATCTCTTATTGTGTTTAATTTTTATGTATTTATAGGTCATATTAATTTATCAGCAATTTACTATGTATTTAGTATTAATTACTGGTAACACCTAGAATACCTAGAATAAATTTTTAAAAAAATCAAAACAATTATCATAAAATCATTGATCTTATACACAATTTCCATGAATAAATATTTCTGCACTTTAAATTATTAGTCAAATACTGATAGGTAAATAATTATTACAATAAAAAACACAAATATAAAATTATAATAAAATATATAACAAAGATATAATATATATTTATTAACTCATATTATAGTAATTTTATATAAGTATTATAAGTGAAATACTTCGATTACGACATATAATACATAGTTCTATGAGTAGCAATATACATTTATTAATTTAAATTAAAATTTGAGTCATCGATCCAATCATACGTGTAATATCAAAACAATTGTTGGTTCAAATATATATTTCCATGTTTATATTAAACAAGATTTCTTATTGAGAATTATTATTATTTTTTAAATTTACAATTAACAAAAATGCATCGATTTAATTCATAACTTCCAAAAATAAATAGTTCTGGATTTTAAAATTATAGTTAAATACACATAGGTAAATAAATATTACATAGTAATACACAAAAATCTAAATATAATAAGGCAATATTACAGTATGATTATACTGTAATCATATTATTGCAAGTAAATGTTATTATTATAACAGCTAAAAATTATTAACTAATTTTATTTTAATGGTTTATAAGTATTATGTATATAAAAAGTCATTTATTTATTTATTTTTTATTGGAGATCATAGATCCAATTATATACATATAATTGGTTCTAACATATTTATAAGTTTATATTAAACGAGATTTCTTTTTAAGGATTCTGTTGATGCGGTATATCTTCCATTTGTAATAAGTACTGATATTGTTCTATGTTTACAAATCAACTTACGCTTTTAAGCAATACAATTTACATGAAAAAGAAAGTAATATCAAATTTTATAATTGTAAAAATTACACTTGTGTATATTTTGTGTTCATTTCACAATAATTATTTTAATTTACATCAGTACACTGTTTTTTTTTTTAATATTTACTATTCAATAATACCCAATATCAATTTAATATGAAAATCTAAAAATTACAACTTAATTATTTCAATTTACATTAGTTAATTGTAAAAATGATCAATACGATGTCTTAAAGACCAATAATCTAATTTTAAGAAAACTATACAAAATTTTTAAAAGAGTTTCTAAAATTTGTTTTTTTTTTTAGATTATTTTTGAACTGAAAAATTATAAATTAGGTGAAAAACATTGAAAAATATACCTTCCACACCTAAAACTAATGATCCACACAGTTAAATTTGTTTTGAATGACTTTTGTATACATTCATAATTTCATAGTGCATTTTTACGTGTATATATTTATGTGCCATATCAATTTATTAACATTTTAATATATTTAATGTCTATAACTAATGATACCTAGATTATGTTTATTAAGGGTCATTCAAACCAATTTTTCAAAAAAAAATTACAACAATTTTCATCAAATCATAAATCATATAAATAATTTCCGTGAATAAATATTTCTGTACACTTAATTTATTGTTATGTACTGATAGATGGAAAATTTTACATAAAATAACTCAAATAGATAAATATAATAATGCATTTTGACAGTATAATCATATTATTGCAAGTAAATGTAATTATACCGGCTAAATGTTACTAACATCCAATAACATAATTATACTGTAATAATGCTTAATTATATATATATATATATATCTGTAAAATTTTACATAATATTTATTTACATATCGGTACTTTACTAAAATATTAGTGTCCGGAACTAATTATTTATATATATATATAATACACAAGAGCATTGATTTTATTTTAGTTGACTTACTTTCTCTAAAGGTTTAATTTGAATACATCTCAATAAACATATCCCAAGTATTATTAGTTATAGATACTAAAAATATAGAAAAAAGTTGATAATGTGATATGACACATAAATATATACACGTTAAAGACATAAAATATTATGAAAGTATAAATAAGTTATTCAAAACAAATCTAACTGAGTTGATTAAATGTTTAAGGTATATAAGATATATATGTCTATTTATATAACTCAATAGATAGATTGAATCTAGATGATCTTATCTACAATTTACGAGACAAAAAAAAATTAATATCAAATTTTATTATTAGGAAACTGTTAAAATAACATAGTAGTTTAAAATACTAACACGAAAATTCAACTCGATATAAATCTGTTAAAAAAAAAATTCTTGTAAAACACAAACAGTAAAATTCGAGTTTAGATAAACATTTAAAAAATAGCTGGTTAAAATCTAATGAAAAATAATTTTAAAAACTAGAGTTAAAACAAAACTTAAAATTAAAAATAAAAAATGCAATAAAAGGTAGAAATAAAATCACAAGCTAAAAAATACTGTCGTAGAGTTGAGTCGACCATTTATAAAATTGTCCTCGAACTTTATCCGAGTAAAGCAGAGCATTTTGGCGATTGCTACGCACTGAAACAAATAAGTATACGAATCATCAATTACTATAGAATATATAGTAAAACAGAATAGAAAATTTAAGAATAATTTTAAGACAAAAAACAGTATACGAACCTCGGATTTATCAACCGTTCTGTCCGGTCCGGTATAAAAATCGTTCTGCCGGAACTCGATGTTTCCNATGTAAAGTAAAACAGAATAGAACATTTAAGAATAATTTTAAGACAAAAAACAGTATACGAACCTCGGATTTATCAACCGTTCTGGGCAAATGTAGGACCAACTTCGGTGCCATCGATTTCGCAATCCGCCCGATGACTTCGCCGCCCCCGTAAGCCTCGCACAGGACTGACGCGCTGTACGAGTCCTCGAGGAGGTACTTGGGACCTCCCCACGGGGGCGACGTGACCACTACATTTGCCTGTTGACCACTCGGTCCGGTAAAAAAATCGTTCTGCCGGAACTCAACGTTTCCGGCACAGCCATATACACCGGCGTTGTGCCGGACCAATGTAATTTTTGTTTCGTCGATAAACATAGCGATCACTGATGTAAAATCAAAAATTAATAAAGAAAAAAAAAAAAATGTAATGTTATAAACGAACATAATATATTGCGTAGGTACGGTAGGTATAATAGGTACGTTACCTTTACAAGTTTTGGCTAGCTGAATCGCATTGCCGCCGGCCCCGCAGAACGGGTCAACGGCGACCCCGTCTGGAAAACCGACACCGGTCGGCAATATGCTTCGCCAATACTTCGGGGCATACCGAATAGAAGCTCTCTGTAAAACCAAAAAAAAGTCACACAAATAATAATTTTAAACGAACACAAGACCCGAAACACGATACATTATCCGGAAGTATGCCGGCGTCGAACCGCACAAAAAGTAAACGCCGTTGTATCCAGTACATTTTGATACGGTTCAGTTCTGCGGTCGAGGTCTTACCGAGAAAAAACAACAATACCTCGATACCTCGGTGTCGTCTCCGCAGAACTTCTTGTCGACGCCAGTATACTTCTAGGCATCTATTCGGTTATACGCCGTTCTCTTTGCTGAACAAATATAGTACATCGAAATGAACTATAACCAAATGTGTTTTTTTTTTCAAATTATAATGTTACGGTAAAAATACATAGTCCCGATTGTACTATATATTTTTATAAGAATTGAATTATAACAACACACCACACATTATTTCATCGCGATAAATTATAAATGTGACATTTTACATACCGTTGGTAGACAAACATTTTTCTCCCGTCAAAATCCCTAGTGCGGGGTTCTGAAATAAATACAACAATTTATTTCAACGTTTATCAGCGATTAATTACGATAACAATTTGTACTTACAACTGTGTCGTTTGTTAGGCAGCAAATGTTACGGCCTACCGAGTGATTTTGGTCGACGTCCGTCAAACTCCCACAATGTGCGGACACTGCGGGGTTTTTGACCTCTTTGACCATAGATGCGTGTGTGAAAGTTTTTTTATCATCTGATAAGCTCTCATTCCGTATTATAATAAAGTAGAATCCGTGTATAACGATCTTCAATAGACCCTAGAGAATTAGTTCGTTATATTCGTTATATTATAAAATATAAACCTTTATTTAATTAAAAAATTGATTTATTAAACGTAAATTTTATATTAATTCGTTTTTTGAGTATATTCGTTATACTCACATAAATACATCATAGGCCAGCAAGATTGTTAAGTAAGTACCTACCTAATTAACTAAACTAATTTATGTATTAATTTATTTAATTTTTCAGCTATTAATTCAAGTTATTAATTCATATTAAATTATTACTATATAAATGTGCATACGAGGTGTGGCTATTAAACAACGAGACTGGTTACGAAAAAGTGTTTTATTATAAAAGTTATTCAACATTCAAACGCTCCCCTTCAATATACTCCCCTCCCCTCGTCACACACCGTTTCATTCGTTTCTTCCATTGCTCGAGGCAGTGCTGGAAGTCTGTTTTCGTAAGACTATTCGGGAGTTCCGCCGATTATTGTTTCACCTCTTCCATCGACTCAAACCCGATTCCTTTTAAGGCAGACTTTATCTTCGGAAACAAGTAAAAGTCGCAGAGTGCCAAGTCGGGTGAGTAAGACGCGTGTTCGAGTNTTGCCAAAACTGTCAAATAGTAATGTTGGTTCACAGTTTGACCCTCTGGAACCCATTCAATCATCACGATGCCGTTGATATCGAAGAAAACGGTTTTGAATTTGGATTACGACTGAATTGGATTCCGGTGCACTCTCGACCTTCAGAAAATAATTTATGCTACTCAAAAACACGCGCCCGAGATAGAAAATCCTCATTATAGGCCTCTTTTAACAACTTATAGTACTACTCAGTTGGAGTTTTTTTAGTTTAACGAGAAATTGTACGTTTATCCGTTGTTCATGTTTTTCGTCACACATGGTTTTCGGCACGAGAAAAAAATACGTTCGTTTCAAACCACTACTGCACAAATACTATAATAGTGACGAAAACGTGTTTTGGTACGTGCATAGATAAGATATCTAGATACCCAACGCATTACTCGTTTTTTTCATTACCACATCTAGGGCGCTCTCTAGGCGATCAGTCTCGTTATTTAATAGCCACACCTTGTATGAACGTATCATATTAATTCATCTGCATTTTATTATATAATAATTGTACTATTTTATTTTATTTAAGTACTATTTAAGTATTTAATTAGTAAAATAATATAAGTATAATAAGTATAGTAGTGTAATTATTATTAAGTATAGTAATAAATTATCCTTTTATAATTTCTTATTTTGTTTAATGTTTATATATTTACGTGTCATTTCAATTTATCAGCATTTTAACATTTACTTAGTATCTACAACTATTGTTACCTGTAATATGTTTTATGAGATGTATTCAAACTAAATTTTTTATGAAATTTAGTTAATTTTCATAATATTATTGATCTTTTACATTAATTTCTTTGAATACATAGTTCTGGAAAGTGTGTTTATAGTTAAATACCATCTGAAAGATAAATATTACATAAAATTCCACAAAAATATAAATATAATAAGATAGTTTTACAGTATAATCATGTTATTTTAAATATCTGTAAATATACTAGAAAACAATTATAAAAACCATATTATATTTTTGTTGTGTAAGTATTATTTGTGAAATTCATCGATAAGAACATCTATTATATCTACATGTCAAAATTAATTATAAATATAGTGTCCAGTACTACTTATTAATTTTAGAAAATAATCTAAAAAAAACTAATCTATTTAAAGACCATTTGAGAAATATGCGTAATATTTTCTGAAAATATGATTAAAATGATTTTCGGACATTGTATTTATCATATTTACAATAATTTAACTAGTTTAAATTGAAATAATATAGGTATAATTTTGAGATTTTCTTAATAAATTGACATTGGGGTTTATTGAATTGTAAATATATATAAAAAAAACACATTATACTGATGTAAAATAAAAAAAAAAAGTATGAGCAACACTTTCTTTCGTAATAATAATAAAACCTCATATTAATTTTTTTTCCTAGTAAATTGTATTATTTTTAAGTGTAATTTGAATAAAAAATATAAAAATTTCAGTCCAATTTACAAATGAAAGATATATTTTATGACCATAATCATTTTTGAGAAATATTGTTTAATATAAGCATATAAATATGGTTAACCCCGTACATTTTTTATAAATACCTATAAGATTAGGTTTAAGATATTCATTTAAAATTAAATTATATATATATATATATTTGGAGAAAAATATTAAAAAATATACCTTATAAGCATTAAACTGATAATCAACAAAGTTAAATGAATTATATTTGTATTTATTCATAATTTCTTATCGTTTTTAATGTATATTTAATCTTATATGTATTAGTAAAAAATATATGGGTACAATCATTTTTATATGTTTATATAAAACAAGATTTCTAAATAAAGATTATGTTGATATAATATTTCTTTAATTTGTGAAAAGTATTGACATTAGTCTATGTTAATAAATCAACTTACCTCATTGAGTAATAAAATTTACATAATAATACAAATTAATATCAAATTGTATTATTAGCAAAGATACTGTTAAAATATTTTGTGATCATACTTTTTTAATTTTCTTCGGTACCATGTTTTATTTTGAATATTTACAATACATAACTCCCAATGGTAATTTATTATGAAATTCTAATAATATACACTTTATGATTTAAATTGGTTTAATTATTGTGAAAATGAACAACACAATATCCTAAATTCTTATATTCAAATGTTAAGAAAATTTTACTATATATTTCGTGAATATAACTAATGATTACTAGAATATATTGATTGAGATTTATTCAAACTAAGTTTTCAAAGTAATTAAGAAAATTACTATAAAATCATTGATCTTCTACCTAATTTTCATGCATAAATAGTTCTGGACACTACGTTTATAGTTAAATAATGAAAGAAAAATAAATATTACATAAAATTCACAGGTATAAAAATATAACAAGGCATTTTTACAGTATGTTATTGGTTGTAAATGGAAAATTACTAGCTAATAATTATTAACTAATATTATTTTACTGATTTATAAGTATTATGTAAATTAATAGTAATTTATTAATTTAATGTTTAATTAAGATTATAGATCCAATTATATATATATAACTAAAAGAAATAATTGGTTCAAACTTATTTATATGTTTGTATTAAACAGATTTTTTTATTGAGGATTCTGTTGATATGGTATATCTTTCATTTGTAATAAATAAATTAACTAACCCTTTCGCTTTTAAGTAATGCAATTTACATGACAAAAAAAAAAAATTAATATCATATTTTATTATTGTGAAAATTACACTTATAAGTATTTTGTGTTCATTCCAAAATATTTCTTCTCAACTTTAATATATACAGTTCAATAACACCCAATGTCAATTTACAACCTCATTTATTTCAACTTAAATTAGATAAATTATTGTAAATATGATAAATTAAATGTCCTAAAATCGTATTTATCAAGTTCTAAGAAAATATTACTCAAATTCCTGTAATGATTTGTAAAAATGTTAATATTTTAAAATTATTTTCGTACACAAATATTATATATTAGGAGAAACACATTGATAAATATACCTTGTTTACCTAAAACTAATGGTCTAAACAACTATATTTGTTTTGAATGATAATTATTAACATTTATCATTAAATCATTGATCTTATACATTATTTCCATGAATAAATAGCTTTGGACCCTAAGTCTATTGATAAATACATATAGGTAAATAAATTAATAAAAAAAAGTATGGGTTCAATCATTTTTACATTTTAATACTAAACAAGATTTCTTAATTAGGAATTGGTTGATAAAATAGAAAGATAAATATTACATATAATTACACAAATATATAAATTATATAAGATATTTTTACAGTAAATATCTGTAAATTTACTTATAATTAATTATAAACCCATATTATATTTCTGTTAAGTAAGTATTTTACGTGAAAATCATCGATTGGGACATCTATTATATCTACCTGTCAAAATTTAATTACAAATATAGTTTCCAGAACTATTAATTTATGGAAATTTTGTATAATATCCATTTTCTTAATTGCTTTGAAAATTTGGATTTATTTTATCTTATTCTTAACACATTCTAGACATTATTCGTTATAAATATTAAATTTTTAGAAATTTCATTCAAAACAAATATAACTGTGTAGATTTATTGTTTTGGGTATATAAGGTATATTCTTTAATGTTTTCTCCTTATATATAATATTTATGTCTTCAAATAATCTAAAAACACTAATCGATTTAGAGACCATTTCAGAAATATGAGTGAAATTTTGTTAAAATATGATAATACGAATTTAGGACATTGTATTGATCATTTTTATAATAAATGAACTAATTTAAATTGAAATAATTAAGGTATAATTTTGAGATTTTTATAACAAATTGATATTGGGTTTTATTAAATAAAAATATTAAAAAAAAAAACACATTGTACTAATGTAAATTAAAAGAATATTGTAGAATGAATACAAATTATAATATTTATAATACATAATATCCAAATTATGGATATTATGTATTATAGATATTAAACATTTAATCCAAGCAGTTATATTTATTTTGAATAATAACTTTATACTATTATAATTTCTTATTAATTTTAATGTGTATGTATTTTTGTGTCATATCAATTTATCAGCATTTTTCTGTATATTTACTGTCTATAACAAATGATTCCTAGAATATGTTTATTGAGATTTATTCAAACAAAAATTTCCAAAGCAATTAAGACAATTAACATAAAATCACTGATCTTACACATAATTTCCATTAATAAATAGTTCTGGATTTTAAATTTATAGTTGAATACTGATTGGTAAATAGATATTACATAAAATTACACATATATTATTATAATAAAGAATTATTATAAGTATTGTCATTTTAATGCAAGTAGATGTTAAAATATTAGTTAATAATTTTTAACTAATTTGATTTTTCTGGTATATAAGCATTTTACATAAAAAAAAAAAAAACTATTAGGACATTTATAATAAAGTATTATGTGTATAAATATTAATTTTTTTCTTTAATTTTAAATGAAAATCGTAGATCCAATTTTATATGTATTATTAAAAAATATATTTTTTTAGAAATGAACAAGATTATTGGGAATCGAACAAATTATACGTATTTTGGAAAACGATAGTTCAGTTATCGAGATTTTTGTTTTAATTTAAAATTGTATGGAAGAATTGAAACGTGATATCGGGACACGTTTACATTACGAAAGCTTAAATCAGGTATGACAAAAAAAATAATACCTATGTTACTACTATTTATCTACCTATATTATATTATTAAATGTGTATTTTCAGGAGTTGATAGTAATCGAAGAAATTGTTGTGGAAATTGTTTATATTCAAATGGAAAACTATATTAGTGACAAAATTTTAATTAAATATTTTCAAATGTAAAATAGACAATATAAAATGAGTTTGTAAAATCATTATAATCATATAATTATATACCTACGTATTAAATTGATTGCTTACAGGTATTAATAGTATTAATACAAAATATTATTTAAATTATAAGCTATTTCTTAAAACGTTTTAGTAGTAGTCATGTATTTTTTTGGAACCATATTTTGTCGGGAAAATAATCATTCAAAAGTTTTTTTTCGGAAAAATAGTTAGGCCGAAAATATTTTGTCGGAACCGTATTTTGTTGGAGAAATAATTCATCGGGAAGTATTTTGTCGGAACCGTTCAATTTAGTTTCATTACGTGATTACATTGATTGGGTTTTTTAGGGGGTGCTAATTTTAAACTTGAGGGCGCTATAAAGGCCTCCTAGTATCAGATAAAGTTTCAAAAAAGTTTGATTAAAATTTACCGAATTTTTTTCGCAGAATTGTCGTATTTTCAGTACTCGATTGTTGGAAGATCATAGGAGATAACAGTTTCAACAAAATATTTTCCAAAATTTTACGCGCTCCCTTTAGGAACATTTCGAT